GTTTGATGGTTTGGGGTGAGGCGCACTCAGTGTGACTCAGGAGGCACCAGTAATTTGATCTGGGCCCAGCCTTTGAGAATCAGTGACAAGGTGGCAGAATCTGCTTTAGGAGCTTGACCTTTTTGGCAAGTCTCTTGATAAAATGAAGTACAGGTCAGCCTTTTCTATCCTACTCCTTTTGTCCAACAAATTTTGCACTGACTTCAAAATTATACTTTGGGAGAACTCTGAAAAATGTTTTGAGTTCAGAGAGAGAGAGAGAGAGAGAGAGACGGCAAGAGAAGTGTATATTGCATGTTAGCTTTGGCATTTTTTTAATCTTAGAGTGAAGACCAATTTTTCTGATGTGGGGGGGTGGAATTGTGCAATACTAGCGGCACCTGCTGAGGAGGGGCAGCCATTTCTTGCTGTGATTCTTGGGTTGCCTGACTTATTCTAAGAAAAGAAAAGGAAGGCACTGATTTTAAGTGACAAAGGAAGAGCATACACTACTCCTTCCCTGTTTACATACTTCAGAGGCCATTAGGGCCCTTGGAAAGGTGCCAAGGGGGTCCATAGAAACTGGTAGAATGATTCTGGTGGAACATAAGCTAGTAATTCTGTTTACACTGGAAGACAATTTGAACAGCATCTTGCCATGCATGCTTCACATGTGATGGACTTTTATAAGCAGCAGGTGTGATCGACTTGGGAACCTTCTAGGACAAAAGGAACCGAGTCATACATTGCTCGATTTTCTCACCAGGAGGCTTGGCTGCCTTCGAAGAGTTGCCATTGCAACTGTTGCGAGCTGATCTTTCTTCCAAGACAAGGGCTGCCAGAGCTCGATTTCTAAAACAGTGAAATATGGGGGGAGGAGTTCTGAAGTCTGGGCAGACCAGTGGCCTCTGGTACTGTAGTCTGTAACAAGCCTAATAGGTCCAACTCAGTGCAATTCATATCCACTGTCTGGTCTCATGGATGATAGCTGAGGTTGTAGCCAAAAGAGGACGTTCAGCATCCACATTCTGGAACAGAAAATATCTTCACCCACTTGGCATACTTAGGAAAAATCTGATGCCCAAATTTAAACCCCAGAGGATCTCAGAAGGTTCAACTGGACTCCTCTTTGTTGAGTCTCTTTCCCACCGACTTAGGAATTTCCTCTAATGGCATATTTGCATCTTGGATATGCTTTCTATTACAAATGGAAAGAACAGATTGTGGAGGGGGTGGGAGGCCTTCTGTCTTTTGTTGTATCCATTTTTGTCATCTTTTATTTTCCTTCTGACATTTATATGCTGGTCTGGGACTGTAATAAATATTTGATTTGACATTTTTTTTCCTAAACTAAAGCAAACAATCTTTTTTAAAAGGACAAAAATGTATACAGAAAGCACTAACAAAGCCTGATTATGTAACCTCTGTGCAGATGCAGCATGGACTTTTACCCCTTCCAGGCGCTTTGGGTTAATGCAAGCAGCTACTCCAATATCAGTCCCTCTCCCCTCCCCTGCCCCTTGTAAAATCCTTTCAGAGAGGAAAACCGATCCTTTAAAATACAAAATAACAAAGGCAAGCCTCCCTTTTCCCACCCATTCAGCCCATCCCAAGTCCCTCAGCACCCCATGCTTTTACCTCTAAACTTCCTCCTTTGCCCCCAGATAATGCCAGTATTTGTTCTGTGTTATAAGTGCCAAGAAAAATTTTGTGACTCCTCATCCCTGTGACCTGAGAGTATCAAGAATTGCACATTAACTACTGTAAAGATTAAAAAAAAAAAAAGGAATTCAGAAATGTTAATAAAAAAAGTTTGTAACAATTGTGTGCCTGGCTATTTCATTAAATTCATTATTGCTCTGAGATGTCATGGAACATCTTTGCTGGAAGTTACAGACCGGATTCAGTTAAAGATGGATCTATACCTTGGAACATCTTATTTCTGAGCATCATAACTCTACAGAATAAAATTAGTACAATCAAAGATGCAGCATTAATAACAATTTTATATCATATTCTTCAAATTGTCAGGACAAACCTGTGACACTTGTTAAAATGGACATGGATCCTTTGATCCAATGGAGGCCTCCCTCTATAAAATGGAGAGGGAAGAAGCCATTTTTAGCATCTGCTTTACCCTAATCCCTGCTTGGAAGGTTCTTTGAAACAGTATGGGAAAGTGCCCTGAAGTCATCTCCCCTGCCATACTGGCAAAAACCTCTAGAAGTATTTCTTCAGGAACGTTCCTTGCCTACAATCTTTTATTTTGTAAAAGTTTTGCAAAATGTGATGTATGGTGGGGGTGGGGGTGGATGTGGATGTGCCTTCAAGTCAGTTTTTGACTCCTGGCAACTTCCTGGACTAGTCCCTGCAGTTTTCTTGGCAAGGTTTTTCAGAAGTGGTTTGCCATTGCCTGCTTCCTAGGGCTGAGAGTGACTGACTGGCCCAAAGTCACCCAGCTGGCGGGACTGGAACTCATGGTCCCTTGGTTTCTAGCCTGATGCCTTAACCACTACACCAAACTGGCCGTCCTTGGTTATTCTGGTTACTCTGGTATGGTTACTGTGCTAAAAATAGGAGCTAAGACTATAGTCTTGTACATACTTGGTGGAAAGCCCCACTGAAAAACTGGCATATACAGGTAGTCCTTGCTTACTGACAACAATAGGGACTGGAAAATTGGTCATTAAGCGGAGAGGTCATTGAGTCACCATGTGACCAGACCCGCTTTTACAACCATTTTCGCAAAGGTCATTAAGCAAATCACATGGTCGTTAAGTGAATCCAGCTTCCCCAATGGTTTTTTTTGCAAGAATTTTGTTAACGACCACATGATTTGCTTAGCGACCACATGACCATGGTGATTTGCTTAATGACATAAAAGTTGCAAATCACAATCACATGCCCACAGGGGGTGGTGTGACAGTTTGCAACAGTCATAAGTGTGTGTACAGTTTGTAAAGCACTTTTTCCAAGGCCATCGTAACTTCGAGCCATCATTAAACAAGCAGTCGTTAAGTGAGGACTACCTATACAGTATTTACAAATAAATACATGTTTTGGCTGAATGTTGTGTAAGAAAAACATCCTACGTTTGGCTATGAGGAGCAAATATATGAAAAGTTTCTATTGTTATGAATTGTGGGAGTCAACATGTGACCCATCAGTGAATGCCCAACTGCATCTCCCAGTTGCATGGCCAGCACTAAGGGACATTGCAAGTTTCAGGTTAACTAGCATCTGAAGAGTTGCAGGTTACCCACTCTTTCTGCAAGTGATAGGGATTAAATAGAAATATTCTTTAATTTGCTATCTTCTGTTCACTGCTTGGGGTCTAGCAGAATAGCTATTAAACAAAGTATTTATTTATTTAAAAAATTGAATCACCCAATAGCTGAAGCGCTCTGGCTGGTTTACAATAAAACAGTGGTGGACTCAAGACATATGACATTAAATTATGGAATTATCAGAGGACCTATGGATATTGGCTAAGATGGCTAAATCAGGTCTCCATATTCAATTCTTCAACATTTTCTTACCACCTTTGTATCCAGCATTTGTAGACAAGTTGAAGACAAAATGAAACCAATTATATCAGACCAAGCCATACAATTTTCATATTCTTTGAAGTATAAGGATCTCACCCATTCCTTCCCACATTAATAGTCTAAAACAGGTGCCTTAAATACAAGTATAAAATATTTATTGTTTTAAAAAAGTTGCTTTAACAATGTTTTATAAAAGGGATTAGCAGAGGATAGATCCAGATTTACTTGGCAGATCCCTAGGTAGTTTCGGCAGCTTAGCAAGGATCCCTAATTCACAAGGATTTAGAATAGCAGCAGCCAAAACTTTCTCCTCACCCATATAATTCTAAAGCTTGAACTAACCAGAAGCGTATTTTTCATCCTACAAAAGCCCCGTAAGCATCTTTCTATTCTTTCTAATCAAATTCCAAGGCTAAGTATTCTTTAATTCTGACTATGTCTTTTGCACCAAGCTTTGGTGATCATTTCACAAGTCTGACGTCTGTCAATCTCTGCTGTATAACGCCACATAATATAAATGGAATGGAATGGCTGAGTGCCTGTGACAACTGAACTGTCCCATAGAGATATTTCTCATAGTAAACTATGAGTCACTTGGACTTCCCTGAAAATAGCCACTATCTTATTTTCATGGCAGAATCCACTTAGCCAATACTGAGATGATCTATCCACTGTGTTCTACCAAAGGCGTGAGATGAGAAGAGACTCAGCAGGTACATTGGCAAGTCGTGTTTTTTGGCCTAGCCCAGAAGCATCACCATCAGTTGCATCCTAGTGCACAGTGCTGTAGTCTATATTTACATGATGACAATGTTCTTTGCTCCCAATTTCTAGAAAGGAGCTAACCGGAGGGGTGGGGGATTGGTGGCTGGTGTTTGGTTTCATTTAAATAGAAAGGCAGCTTCAGATCATCCTCAACCTTAGTAATTTCACCAAGCACTCCACCAACTCAAGAAGCAAGACATAGTGTCCTATCTAAAGCTGCCACCATTCTTAGTTGGTCCTACTCAACTGAAAATAGATAACCATTTAAGTCAATTGTGCTTCATCAGCAGATGCATTTAATACAGAGGTAATTTACACCCATTCAGAGAGCTGGTAGGAAGGAACTGAATCTTTTAACAGGCATAAGATTAGGAAAATAAACATTAGTGCTTGTCATTGCAAAGTTGGTGATACGAAGAATGGGTGGGGCATGGTCTTCACATTTAAGAAGCACAGGTATTCAAATCTGAAGTTTCCCAAGTATGGTGAAAAAGAAAATCCACGGATTCGCACTGTAAAGTGCCATAATGGACTGTGAGAAGAGCCTTGAGGAACAGGAGGAAGAACCTAGAGAACAGTCCGATAAATGAAATCTGAGCCCAAATTAGAAATGTAATTTGAGAAAGCATCTCAGGATTGCCCCTCCCTAGCTCTCTGGAAAGTAAAGGCAGGGGAGGGGGGAAGTGCTTTCAGACTTACAAGATTCTGTTGCTGTAACCTTACAGTAACAGTAGTAGTAGCATTTATTATTTTGGTTTCCTGGTCTGGACTACCTCAAAGGCTTGACAAGTACCAACCTGCAGAATCCTCCCTTGTCACAAACCTCTAGCCTCTAATAGTTAGGGCCAACAGTATGAATACAAGGGAAAAGAGCCCAGTTAGAAATCCAACATTCTTGTCCTATTTCTTCACCATCCCTCACTCCATATAGAACACAAAGCCATGGTGGCTTCAGGTTTTACGCACAAAAAGAATGGGATTGGTGGTATCTTTTCCATTTTCCCTATGTCCATCTGTCAGTTGATCAGAGCAAAAAGAAGGATCAGCACCACCGCACCAGTGATGACCAACAGGCAGATGATGCACCACTGACGTCTTTCTGATGGAGAAAGAACAAAGAGAGGTGGTCTAAGTGCAGGAAGGCCAACCCAGCTGGAAAATAACCAATCACCATGGGGAACACGGGAGTGATGTATGGAAATAAGCACAAAAATGGGGAATGGGAGTAGTCTTAAAACTCATTTAAAACACATGGAAAGCTGCATTCATGTTGAACCTTAAAAACATATGCCAATGGGTTACATATACAAATGTCTATGCACCATTCTTTGACCCTAATTCAGTGCTAAACACAGTCCCAGTTAAAGAGTGGATCTTTAGGCATTTAGCAGTATTTCAGTGAAGTGGTCTACATATTAGGCAAGTAGTAAGGAAACTACTATCTTGGCATTAAACTCCTCCAGAAACAATCCTGTTCAAAGGAATTTGGTTACTTGAGTATTAACATATTGCGGGGGGGGGGCAGGTGAGTTAACCTGCAATTCAGGTGTCATAGGTAGCAAGATTATGGCATAGAGGATGAGAAGGGGCATTGCTGGTCAGACTTTTTTTGTAGATGTAGAGGGATAAAAGCTCAAGGATTGTGTGTATATATTACAGCATGCACTAATTGCCACTATTAATTTATGCCTGACTTGTACAAAATAAAAATAAATAAATAAAAGCTAGCTATCACTGATCCAGGATTTGAACTGAGAATAAAAGAATGATCAGCCCAAATGAAAATGCAGTACTGGCCTAAGTGGAACAGTCATCAGTTTATGTAATGTTATAAGCCTGTTGCTTTTCTATTCCCTTATCTCTTCCTTTTGCTGAGTCCAAATAGTGATCCAGTTTTCTTATAGCTGTCCTTTGACAGGAGGCCTAAGGTGATAAAAACATTATCCCAAAATGAATGCTGATCCCAGGTTAGAATGACTGGCCCATTTGCTGGAGGCAGGGAGAGAAACAATCTTGTGGAGATGATTGTGCTGGTAATCTTGGGGAAGCTGCCAGAAAAAGGACAGCTAACAAAATACTGAACATGATTCTTTGGTAGCAGGCCTAAAAATAATCACTCCCCTAATTCATAAAATGAGACCCAGGTTCTAATGTACCATCAGCCATGGAAGCTCACCATCAGGCTGACCTTGGAACAGTCACATACTCTCTCAGTCCAACCTACTTCACAGAGTTGTTGGAAGAACACTCTCTACACCTTGAGCTCCTGAACAAAAGCCAGGATATAAAGCAAATCAATCAATCAATGTTTGCCAGAGTATATAAAGAGCAAGAGTTGCTATGAATTTATGAAGGCCAGTATCTCTGTAAACCTTTGATACCTAAATCTGCTCAAATTTGATGGATATAAAGTAGGTCTAGGCAATCTACACTCCAGATATTTTGGACTGTAACTCTCACATTCCTTGGCCCTTGTTCACACTGACTGGAATTAATGGGAGTTTATCCAAAACAACTGGAATGCAGCAGGTTGCCTATTTCTAGTAGGAAAGAAAAACAATAGGAAAACTGGGAATTAAGTAATACCAGACAGGATGAGGATTCAGTAGAAGAGAATATCTGTAGCTCAGGGTTGACCTGTAGAATCCTTGGTGTTTTCTTGCAGAAATTTCATTACCCAATTAGGTAATATCTTCAGTGCTAGAAGTGAATGGGGTTTGCTCACTGTTTATATAGAGTAGCTTGCCTGGGATTACCTAGTCAGGCAATGAAACATCTGCAAGAAAACAACCAAGCTCAGAGAACCCCAAGGACTCCACAGGCTGAGGATTCAACAGCTCATTGTCCAAACAGTTCTAGAATGGAAATGAAAACCCAGTGAGTTGGAATGAGGTGGAAACTGTCTTTTACTCTATGCAAATAGACAGCTCATGATGAACCATAAAGCCCTGCCTCTTACCTCTGGCCATGTGGGAGATTCTGCCCATCTTTTTGAGCACCCCATCTAGGCGACTCTGAGTGCTGTCCATCTCGTGAGCAAAGTCTTCTAGCATTCTAGAAAGTCAGCAAATGTATCATCATGTGGCATATTTAAAGCTTGTAAACCTTGTTCCCCTCCCACTCCATCACAAAGCATGAAGATAACAGCTAACAATAATTCCCTCTGTTGCTGGGAATTTTCTCTTGAGAGTATTTTTCCTACTAACAAAGTTTGGGATCCAATTGATGAAATCGTACATCAAAGTAACATATTCCACATTAGGGAGCTAGGGGCCCAAACTGACCAATTTGGTCTCCAATATCATCCCAGATAACAGTAAGAGCTTTTTTATAAAACCAATAAATTATTCTTGACTCCCTTATTGCCAATACGAATATCAACCAAGGTTGATCTGCTTATTCTTGGGTATAAGCGGAGATGTAGCAATTAAGCTGAAGAACACTGTAGCAGAATTTCTGCTGTTCATGCTGGTGGTAGCAGATAGTAAGAGAGAGGATAGCATTTTTTTGCCTTGGTCTTTACTATGGGAGTTGCCAGGTTTGCATACTGTCGGTCCTTCAGCCATTGTTGAACTCAAAAGAATCATTAATTTAAATAAGGTTCTAGATTGGCAACCATTCTGGAATCTAATCTTTGATCCACTTAAGATAAATGTTCCCAGCATTATTCTGTTGCCATCTATACTCACCAAGGCAAGGGCTTTGTGCCCAATCTCTGAATGAACTGTTTCAACTGTTTCAGCACTGCTAGGAGGTGTCATCTGAAAAAGGATCAAAGCAAATCCAATCGACTCTACCACCCCACCTTTGCTACCTGGACTCACATAGTTTGTTCATCAAGTTCCTCTCCAACCCGCCCTGACATGTGCTTCAGCACAGAAATGCTGCCAGAGACCAGCTCCAACTGCTCGTCCTGCTCCTCAATGATCAACTATCAGGGAGAAAAGAAGGCATCAGAGCAATTTTTGCAGAAAAAAAAGACAGCAGCAACATCCACAGGAAACATGTGGGACCTACAGAAGTTTCAGATAACAGAGAGATCTCCTGTCAAAAATGCAACAGTGTGATGTGCCCAATGTCTTATTCATTTTTGCACCCTTTTAGGCAAAAGTCTTCATAAAGACAATTCAGAAAAAATGGAAAGGAATTATTATTTATAATAGTACTTCACCCAACAGTTTGAATCTTGCCCATCACATTTCTTTTTCAAAGGGCTGTTGAAAAATGGCTGTGTATACTGGCCTTTCTTAGTTCAATCAAAATACTAGGGCTCTTGCTACTTGTTCACTATGCTAAAACAAGAGTTTGGAAGAAAAATAAAGAAAGCAGGCAAGCAGCCAATTCTGGTACTGAAACATGATTTTTTTTTTTTAGATTGATAGGGCAAATTTCAAAACTACAAATGTGCTTCTGTATCTCACTTGTCTTTTATTGAGCTGACCATTACTATTCCTGTTCTACTGATGGGGAACTGATATTCTGAACAGGCTCATAAACTAGGGTTTGAACCCAGAACTCCAATTTAAAAAAGAGCCCAGAAAGATTTGTCATTACCTCCATTCAAGGAACTTTACTATTGGTTGTTTGACAAGAAAGGAAGAGAAAAACAATGTCAAGATATACAGTCAAGCAGGGTTGCATGGATGGAGAAGGCCAACAAGCATTGTTTATGTTAGGGCTCATACCTCTACAAGTCTATGCTATATTCTTTACCTCTACAAGTATAAAGGTGGAGAGCACCTTTAGTCTCTGTAGAAATGGGGCTGATTTGTGAAAACTATGAGCTTGATTGGGATGGTGTTCATCTTCTCACCTTCTGGTGCAGCTGCTGCTCTTCCAAAATGTGTGAATCAGCTGCTGACACCTTCTCTGCACTCAACAGCCCACAGCATTCCCTGCCATTCACCAGCTTCCACAGAGAAAGAGGAAGAAAAAAAAAGAAATCTCTGAGCAAGTCAATTCCAACTGCTCCCAGGAAAAAATGCAATGAGACACCTAAGTGGCAATGGTGAACTGGAATGGAGTGGCAGAATTAAGAACTAAGCTCATGGTCTCTCTGTAGGAAAGGCTGTTTCAAGATAAGAACATTTCCTGAATGAAATGAGTTATAGGTAATAAAATCCTTGGCTCTTAACAGTTATTTAACTTACTAATTTATTAGTTGCCTTTCAAGACTACAGTTTTGATGATCTCACAATATAAAACCTTCAATTTACATTCTATATAATATATTAACCATACATAGATTAGCGCTTCCTTTTCAATTGTTATATGTTGTGGGGGATAGTTTGCTTCTGATATTTTAACCTATTTTAGAAACAATTTTTTTCTTAGTGGCTTTGAAATATGGGAAGCTAATGCAACAAATCAGACCTATGATTATACAGAGTCATGCTTCTAGAGAAAAAAATGCACAAGCTATATTGCAGGGAAAGAGATGATAAGAAACTAGGGAATTTGGCCAAGCAAAAAAAGTGCCTGGAGATCTGTGGGCAAGAATTTCCTTTGTGGCAAAGAAGGTGGGCAAGCAAAGAGGCTACCATAGCCGCTGTCAAATTATGACTCTTCCTTCCCTAAAGGAATTCCAAGCAAAGTGCTAAAATAAGGAGCAGAAGATGCTTACTTCTCTGTTGTTCCTCTCCACAAAGGACTGTGCTGCTGGGTCAGACATGTGATCCTGCATTACCTACAGGCAAGGAAAGGAAGCAATAAAGACTGTGCCCTCTGAGGACATATCAGTAGAAATAACGGTGTGTTTTCTTCCATAGGCCCCCAGGTAAATAGTTTCTCCTGGTAACCACTTTAACTATAAGGGCACAGTGAGTATAAACAGAAATAAATGGAGTAAGAGAGATCCCATTATTGCGGTCACCTGAACGTGCAGAAATAAAAACCAAAGTGATATACTATAAACAAAATTCGTTCATGGACATCTGTAGAGGAGAAAAGGGGGGGTTAAGAGGTGGCAAACAATGACATATGTCATGTAATCATTGCACAAGTGACACACACCTGCATACTTACATCAGACATCGTGACACAACTGATGCAAATCACATACCTGCATCATGTATGCAATGACATGATGCACACCATAATTTTGATATTATCATGGTTTGTTACGGAAGTCATAGCATTTACATTCAGTCCTTACCAAACCTACAAATAAAGAAGCATAAGGTCCCCAAGAGGTGAGATAACAGCCAGAATTCGTAGTCTTTTCAATTTGTATAATTCAACCTCTTTGATAGAAAAGGAATTTCACAACATCTAACTTTTTTGCTCAAAACAAAGCAAAATCTGGAAATATTCTTGAATCTTCACCTGAATATTGATGTCTCAAGTGGCTTCTCAATAGCAACAGTTAAGGATTTTTACTCATTGCATCCCCCTATCCCCTGTTGCACGGTAGGGTGTATGTTGAGGAAAACTCACCTTAACTGACGCCCGCATCTCTGTGACAAAAGAACGTCGTGCTGCAACCTCAGATGGCGTAATTGTAAACTTGTGTGGGTTTGATTCTACAATGCGTGATTATGGGTTAAGTGCAAAGGATTTGGAGGTACAGTACTGAGTTTAAAAACTAGACGGGACTGGATTCCAACACCTGGGTCCTACTTGGTGTTCAGTCACCAGAAATTCAGCCTGTGGCAGACCTCTCTTGTTTTTTCCCCTTCCAAGGTGACAAAAGGGATTTATAGCAGCAGTGCAGGAGCAAAATGCTGCTAGGGCTGTCTTAGCAGCAGGCAGTGTTTGTAAAAAAGAATATAATAGCATTACTGAGAGAAGTATCCCAACCTAATTTCAACCTCAGCCTCAAAAGGATATAAATGGTTTCTTCCAAATCCTCCAAGTCCCATTCAATGCTGCGCAAGGTGTTGCGTAATTCATTTGTAGTCCAGTTAAGCTCCTCCTTGTTCACAACTTGGGTCTCCTGGAGAAGCTGGCGCCAGCGCTGATAGAGGCCCCAGGCTGTATTCACCGCTTTCTGAACTTCTCTGCAGAGCCAAAGAGAAAGTGGCTGAAAGGGAGGGAGGAACCACGAGGCAGCTGCACCAGGAGAAGGTGCTGTTTCCTCACTTCAAGTTTGCAATCCCCTAGCCTCCTAATGTGGCCTGCCAGGTATATGACAATGCCTTGGTTTTTGCACTGCTGGTGACAAGTCTAGAAAATGAACTCCTGGTAGGACATGATTGACAGGTCATATGCGGGCAAAATGCATCACTAATTCAGTTCTTATCTACCTGATTGCAAGTCACCCAAGACAGATTTCCTTCCTTCGAGATAACTGCTACAGCTCTGAAGCAAGACAGGCATTTCAGCATAACCAAACTTCCTGCAGAAGAGCAAGTAGAGGAGCTCTTCTGAGAAGCGGCAGTGCGTGCCATAGCATCCAATTTATTTGGATCAACTGATACTTGTAAGGGATCAAGGCAGTTGCACCAGAAGAAGGTGCTGTTACTTTTGCCTCAAGGTCTGCGAAGCCACTTCTCCCCTATAAAAACATAATCATAAATGAAAAGATCCAGATAAATGACATAAATGGAGATATATGCTGATTTGTAATCTAAGTCTGAAGAGAGTGCAAAAAGCGACCATGTGAGTCTTCCTGTTTATGTATGGGAGAAAGCAGAACAAAATGGCATTCCTGCATCAGGGCACTCCACAGCCAGTTTTAGCCTTTATCAGATCCGTAAGACAAAATGAATAGGGTATCAGTAGGTGTATTTCGACCAAGTGCATTCAGGGATTTCTGTTAATAATGAATTAAAATACAGATCTGTAAAGCATAACTAAATCCAAAGAGTTGCTACAGATCTGAAATAGCAAGGAGGAACAACACAACGAAACCTCTGATTAATACTCCTTGTTGCCTATGTTGTGCTGTACAAAAAATCATACTCGACCGACGTGGTACCGCATTAGAGAAACTGCGCTCAGACCTTGTCCACCGACACGTTAGTTTACTGCCACTTCCCAAATAGGAGCATTTCGGAAGAGCGCGCGAGGGCCGCTCCTTGAGGAAGGCGGGCTCTTCTCCAAGCCCACAGCAATGCAGCAGCTCCTCCGGGGAGGGTTCTTTCTAAGAAGTCCCGGTGGTGGTTTTAATACTTGAACGGGACTTCCCATCAGAGCTGGGGAAATCTGTCCGCTGTCTCTCTGCCTCTAGATTCTCGGATCCCCCGATCTTTTCACACTCCTCACCCCGCGTGGCTTCAACCGGCCTTTCCTGGCTCTTTCCAAAGGGAAGAGTTCTCCTTTGTTTGAAAGGATCCCCACCGGGGACTGTCACTCACCCCTTCACCACGAAGAACGGGTCCTCCAGAGACATCCTTGGCTGTTCAAGTGGCCTTCAGGAGAAGTCTAGCCAGCCAATAGCAACGTGCATGGGCGAAGCCATAGGTATACGCACGTCCCCGCCTTCTTCCTTCCACGGAACTGAAGCTGTCAAGGCAGCCATGTTTGTTACGGGCCCCTCTTTCACAACGCTATACTGCAGCTCCCGTGGGCTTGGCTTGGCTTGGCTTTGCTTTTCAATACGGAAAGGGAACAAGTCTTTTCTAGGGGAGGAGCCAAAATCGGGAAGAGGTTCTGAGGTTAGTGGGCGGGCTGAAGAAATGAGAAATCTCCCTTGGAATTTCCTACCTTCCGCGATTTTTGTTGTGGTTGTTTCCCTTCTTCCATTCCCAAATTTCCTAAAGAAGGAAGACGTGGCCTGAATCTTCGCGGCTTTGTTTGCACACACGCGCTCTTCTTTGCTGGGTTCCGAGCCGTTCTTTTTCCGCCTCACGTTTGAGATCTTCACTTCTCAGGTTTTCCACCCCAACCGCAACGGTTCTCGGCTTCCCTTTAATCGCCCGGCGAAACGACTGAATAGCTTCAGAGTGGACTGTGTGTTTCTAGTAATCTTTTATTACAGTTTGAGAGTGACTCTGTCATTCCTGATGGCAATTACGTATAAGAAGAAAACAAGACCGTATCTTAACACAGGACAAAGGGGCATAGAAGACAGGCTTCTTCGTATTTTTAAATTTTATTAGTAATAGCTGGCATGGCGAACGCTCGTGTCTTGGGAGGGACCCGCCAGGGAGAGGAAACGGGTCTCGTGGTCTGAGTGTGGAGATGACGCAATAATGAGGGATCGGCTGATCCTTGCGAGACGAGAAACCGATCTGGCTAAAACCAGAAATTACTAGCTTCTTACATTGGTGCTGACGGCCCATTAAGCCCAACTCTGTTCAGTTGCCTAGTTGAGTTATTTGTTGCAGGAACCATGAACCTGTGTATTTCAGATAAAATGGAAACAGGCTCGATGAACATTTATATTTCCCAAAATTGAAAATGTATCAAGTTTTTCTTGCTCCTTTTCTCCCAGCAATTTGGGGAGAGCCCTGTTCCCAAGATAACATTGCTGTGCACCTGTTAAAACCCAGTTATACGTCTGAAAACTCTGTAGTAGCCCATCTGACCATCATAATTTCGTAATGCGCGTAAGTCCACGATCTCATTTTATTTCCTCATCAATTTTCCGCAATTTCAAAGCTTGCAACGGTGTTACGCCAGCCAAATAAAAGATTTTATTTTACCTCTGATTCTGGATCAAGACAGAAATTTAGTGTGTGTGCAAACTACAGCATATGCATTTCAGTGTAGTATTTCTTGGCGTACCTGAGCCTCAGTGAAACAGTGAAGGAATACGTTTAGGTCGCGTGGGAGTTTTGTGATAAGGGTTTACACAGCCACACCCAAGGCGAGTATAGTCAGATCAAAATACAGTACTGGAAAGGCTGCAGGAATTAGGAAGACTAGGAGAGAAAACATAGTTTGTATTTGGTTTAGAGAGCATGATGCTCGTACTTGGCATTTACGAAGAGAAATTGCTTACAAATAAAAAGTGTGCGATGTGAGCTGTAAATTTAGATCCCTTAGTGGCAGGATTCAGGAGGAGATACGCCACCAAAGTGTATAAAGTATTGTGTTACCCCACACTCCGTTATACGTAGACACATGGCTGACAAGGCAGACGGATCCCTTGGTGAAGGCCCGGAAACTCAATTGAGCCTTTCGTCGCGTTACCCATTTATGGACACAGGAAGCAGAGCTACTACAAACGTAAGCGCTTTCGGAACATTGGTGAACGTAACCTCGACTCCCTCCTCCCACCCCTTGTCGTCAGTCTCCAATAATACATGCGGTAACCCCGGAGGCGGGGGGAGGGGTGACCTAAATAGAGGGAGGAGCCCAGCTCTGGGAGAAAAACGGATAGGGAGGTAGGCGTGAGCGTGCCTTCTATCCTGCTAATCAGGGCGTTTGGTTTTTCCCAACCAGTAAGATTTGGTAAGCAAATGTGTGTGAACGTGGGTGGCTCAAGCATAAACAGTGATGCTTCTCCCCCCCCAAAAAACCCACTGTGTAGTATAACAGGGTTATTAAGAAGCAGGGAGCCACAAATGCAGTTGGATGTGAGGGAATGTAAGGATGCAAGCTGGGAGCAAGCTCCATTGAAGGCTTTGCCTGAACTGGCGCTCCCTTTGGCTGCACTGGAAGTTCTGGAATTCTGGACCACCTTGGCTAAAACTGCCAGATTGGGAAATGCTGCAAGAGAATTTAGCCCCACGTCCGGTCTGCATAGGTTCTGTTTATGACAACAGGATTTCAAACCCTTGTTTGGGTGACAGGGGCAGCTATAGGGAGAAACAACTGAAATCAACACAACAGAGAAGGAAGAAGGAATCTCTTTCCTTTAAGTGCTACTATTGGGAAAAGCATACGAGCCTGAAATCCTGTGGGAGTTTTTTCTTCTGGCTGAGCATTTAGAGCAAGAAGGCCACATCCTTCTGCTTGTAACTTTGTTTGAAACCATCTTGCCTGCAAACTGTTAGATTGTACACAATAACCCTCAATTTTTATATATTAGTGCACAGGAGAGCAAAACTATCTTGTAGAAAGACCGGGATTCTTAGAAATATATATATCTAGCTACATTTTTAGGGGGCATAGAAATCAATTCTACATTCTTAGCTTGATAGAGAAAATAGAGCAGAGCTGATCATACATTTTGCAAAACAACTGTTGTGGTTCAGTTAGAACAAGATCTGGAGTTCAAAATACACTATCTCTAGGGTGTCTGGAGGTTGAGTCATGGCAATTGGACTTCTTTTCTTTTTGGTTAGAGACATTTCACTACTTGTCCAAGCAGCTTCTTCAGTCTAAAAAAGTTGGTTAGGGGGTCCCCTTATAAGACATCCTGGGAGGCTGTGTTTCTTACTAGCATGATAGGCTCCTTGAAGGGACAATAGGAGATGTGATTAGTAGAGTCTTTGAGATGTAGATGTCTTACTCCTAGTCCCTCACTCATCCCCAGGGGGATGTTAAGTGTTGCCTTCCTGCTGAACTTTTGAACTGTACTTAATCTTCCTGGGGACTGTTGAAAGACTGTACTAATCACATCTCCTATTGTCCCTTCAATGAGCCTATCATGCTAGTAAAAAACACAGCCACCCTGGAAGACTTTTATGGGGTCCCCCAACCAAGTTTTTTAGACTGAAGAAGCTGCTTGGACAAGTAGCGAAACATCTCTAACCAAAAAGAAAAGTCCAGTTGCCATGATTCAGCCTCCAGACAATTCCACCTGGATGACTGAGAATCTTCATAAACATATCTCTAGGGCGAGCTTAACATTTCTTGCAATCAGTCTTCTGCATTCATATAATTTTACATGGGAGTACAAACAAGATTGCTCACAATGTATTTTTTTTAAAGCATTTGCATTGCTTTGGTCCTGAAATTGCACAAATCTTTTATCCTAATTTCCTTTAATGTTGCTGATAGTACAACAGATTGAATATCCTTCCTATTCAAACATCTTTGTCATTAAGCCTGGAGGCTTAACCAGCATTATGTGAAATATGAAGATTGCAAGTACCAACTTGCAACCACAGTGATTTAAAGAAGTTTTAAATACCTCTGTAAATTAAATTAAAACTCAGTAAATCAATATTTTGTCTTTTGCTCTATCCTAGAGATTCTGTTGTAAGTAACAACATATATTACTTAAAGGATATATCTGGAATATTACTGTACTCCTAACAAACCACACTAGCTGTACTCATGCAACCTGTTTGGCTATAATTAGGGCTAGAAAACACACACACACCAGATGGGAGCAATGAGTTAAAACTATTCTGTATCATCCCTGATGTCTACTGGTCATTTGGATTTTTGCAGGCCAGATCTGATAGCCTTACTAAATAAAATGTTCGTTTAAATTTATCGCTTAATGTGTTGCCCTGCTAGTGATGACTTGTTTGCATAAATAGCTTGTGAATAGCAACAAGTTTTATGTCACCCTTATTTCAAGTGGGTTGGAACCAGGCCTGACTTAATCGGTATGAACATCTGTTCACAAATCTTCCTAATCCATGCTTCATTTAAAATGCCATCATTGCATTTTCACAACACACTAAGTCAAAATCAAATAAGACATAACACGGATTGCCTTTTATGCCAAAATAACTTGGCCGTGTTTGGGCTCTATTTAGATGAACAGTATTATTTGCTGTTCTGCCTCAGCCACCAAAGCTGCTCCTTGTCAGTTGCCAGTCACTGAATCTAACACAAGGATTGCAAGCGCAGAAGCCTTTCTCAGCCTTAAACATGCATGGAAGCAAATCCTGTTGATTTCAGTTAAACAATTTTCCCAGAGATAGGGAGCCTGTGGCCTTCAGGTAGTGAACTACATACAACTCCCCAAATTCTTCACTTTGCATATGATGTCTAAGGTTGGTAAGAGTTTAACAACCTCTGTAGTTTCTTGCATTCAATCAGATCTCCTTTAGGTTTACCTCATAAAATGTATTCCCATCCTAAGGAAACGAACAGCTTTACCCTGAAATCAACTGCTTCCCAAACTTTCCTTCATTACCCAAAACTGCTTATCAGAAAGTCCTTTTTACTTAAGTCAATTTAAATGTCCCTGTTGTGATGGGTAACGGGTTCGTGTGTCGTTACCCAAAGAAAAACCACTTTTAAGCCGATTTTGGGTAATTTACCCAGGTCTGGGAAGCACTGAACTAAGGAATCTGCAGCTAGCCACTGCTTGTGCACTCCGCTTACACAGCCTAGTGCTCCATAGCATTTCCCAGGTGCTCAGTTTCTCAACCGCGGTACGCCACTTCGGCATAAGGGCCAACGTCCAGTTCTTTTGTTAGCAGGAGAAGCCGCCGTCCGCGAGCCCCGTCTCCTTCGGCGACGCCATTCTTGGCTCTTTTCTCCTCCCTCTCTGACATTTCCGCCTGCCCTTCCCCCTTTCGGGAAGGGCGGCCAGTGGCGCGCAGCACAAGGCCGGATGCGGCTCGCGGAGTGGGCGGAGGCGGCCCGGGCGCTGAGATCACCGGGAGTATAAAAACCAGCGCTCTGGGCGCGGCCCCGCTTAGTCGGAGCGGACGTCTCCAAAGCGGGCTGTCTGGGGGTGGGGTCGCTTTTGGAACGGAAAGGCCAGGGCGCGCCACTTTCGCCTTTGGGGGGGAGTGCAGGCGTTTCTCTTCCGACTCAGCAGCACAGCGTCAAAGGGTCCGAACCGAGACTCGGAGCGCCCGCCAGCATGGAGGT